TCCCAGCTACTCTGGAGGCTGAGGCAGGAGAATCGCCTGAACCCAGGAGGCAGAGGTTGCAGTGAGCCGAGATCAAGCCATTGTATTCCAGCCTGGGGAACAGAGCAAGAGTCCGTCTCAAAAAAAAAATTTGCATGAAGTTTGGAAGGTAAAAGTCAATCAAAAGTCCTACTCTCTGAAGATCATTATGCTTGGATACAGGAAGGGACACATGCAGAGGTACAAGCAGATTCTAGCTTATCTTTACTTTTTCCCATGCCACTTCTTTCCAACTGCCAGGTTTGTTACCAACAGTGCCCCAGGCCCCCCACCAGTCTCTGAGACATGAGTCTTCTGCAGACTGCCTCACTGGGTTCCCCTTTGCTGTCCCACCGTAGCCGCAGGACGTGCCTGCCCTCCCGTACTTGCTGGCAAACTCCTACTTCCTCACTTACACGAATGATTCAGGAGGACTGGCTGGTGGCTTTACTCAGATCCTCCTCCTTTCCTTTTTGTCCCTTGGTTCTCAGCATCTCCCACAATTGTATAAGGTCTTCTTAAGCCACAGCTCTATTGCATAATATTCACAGTGGTTCTGCTTTCTCGATTTAACCCTGAGCGATACAAGAATCAAATGAAGTCACGGATCTAAAGCCCTTAGGACAGCATCAGGCACATAAATTATTATTTTGTTACCATTATCATTGCTTTCATTGCTATTAATGCAACAGAACTTAGAGACCCTGCTTGTCTGATTGCCTCATTCTGCAGAAGAGTAAACTGAGATTCTGCCAGGTGAAATGACTTGCCAGGGTAGGGCAGCTCCAGGTTTCAGGCCTTCTGATTCCCAGTCTCACCCTTTTTCACAGACTATGCCCTGTGCACAAATGAGCCTAGCATTCTGGTTATTACCTAATAGTTATGATGCTGTTGGCTGTAAATACAAAACCCAAGTCAAACTAAACAACATGTTGGCTCATGTAATCAAAAAGTTGAGAGAGAGGACGGATTTCAGATTTATTATCATAATGTATGGACGGCTAAGCTTCATTTCTCTAGAGTTCTCTCAACACTCCTTTCTGTTGTGTCCTAGCCATGCCTCAACTCATAGAAGCAAAAATGGTTACAGTAGTTCTAGGACTTACACTTGTAAGCTACAGCTATCCTGAGGAAGAGAGAGTCTTTGTAAGCCAAAGCACTGTGATTCAATATGATGGGGCCTGTTTAGTTCACACATCCACCTTCACCCCATATTCTGGTGGGAGGTGGTGTGGTGGGATGAAAGTCAGTGATTGGCCTATTCTGAGTCAGGTGCTACAAACCTAGAGCTGGCAGGATGGGAGGCAGGGGTAGGAAGAGTTTGCTTCTTTAGAATTACACAGAGCCCTAAATAGAAACTGGGGGTGGGGGAGGAGGAGGAAAACTGGAAGTGAATGCTGGGGAAGCAACATTTGCAGAGTGAGTGTTACATTTCTTGCCCTAGTATCTTTTCCAAGGCTCTTAGTTGGTATCTGGATGAAGACAGAAGGGCACCATTTCCAAAAGGAATAGACAGTGGTAGGTGATATATTTAAAAGTACTGGTCACGTGACTAAATATTTATGGCTGCTTAGTTTAATGTAAAACATCCATCGACCACTTCTGCTGAGTTTGTCCCTGTCCATGAATCATGAGGGTGGTGGGGACATTAGGGTTGTGTGTTACTCCTGGTCTATGTCACATTAATTAGCCTAAAAAACTGAGTGCCATCTACCTGCTTGTGGGTAGTATCCCATCGTGTAGAAATGTGCAGTAAGAAATCTACCAGGATGTAATAATGTTGTCTTCTTGATAGTGCAGGCCAAGTAGAGAATTAGGAAATTTGTCCTTTACCTTGAAAATGGGGTCTTTTTTGTAGGTTTTTTATCATTACAACTAATTGACATTGTAGGGGAGTAAAAAAATAATTTCCCCTCTAATCTTCTAAGCTCTCAGCTGGGAACCCCTGTAACAAAAGACAGACCAATAAAGGTAAAACCACAGAGTGTTTTAACATTTATAAATGTTAAAACATGAACACATGGGAAATGCCCTGGAAAAAACCAAGTAATTCTCAAAGAAGTGGCCTAGAACCCTGCCTTACATAGCATCTTAAACTAGAACAAGAAAAAAAGGATGTTGGGGAAGGCAAGTTATGGGGAAGGTGACCAGGAAATGCATGGTAAAAAAGAAGTTTTGTTTTGCAGAATTTAAGTTGGTTCTTCTCCACTGACAAGAGCTTCTTTGCCAGGTGCAGTAGCTCATGCCTGTAATCCCAGCATTTTGGAAGGCAGAGGCAGACGGATTGCTTCAACCCAGGAGTTTGAGACCAACCAGGCTGGGCAACCCACTGAGACACCCATCTCTACAAAAAATGAACAAAATTACCCAAATACTGTGGTATGCACCTGTAGTTCCACCCAGGAGGTTGAGGTGGGAGGATCTCTTGAGCTCAGGAGGTTGAGGGTGCATTGAGCTGTGATAGTATAGCACTCCAGCCTGGAGTGAAATGCTGTCTCAAGAAAGAAAAAAATTTTCTTGAGATTTAGTCATCCTTTTTCTGGTACAGAGTGAGAGACATTACAAATGGAAATTTCCTTTATAGATGCAAATTTCCCTTACAAAAAGATAACTTCTATTTCATTTTCAAAATAATCCTTATGCCAAAGAGGCAGATATTTGGGTGGCATATTCTAGTCCCCTACAACAAATAAAGAACACACACTAACGTGCACAAAGCTCAGGTTTTTAGTTGAATGAGTATAGATAATTGAATACACCTGGGTAACCACTAGCCAAAATAAGATACAGAACATTTGCTTCAGAGCTGAAAGTTCCCTGATTTCCCTTCTTAGTCGATCTCCAACCCCCATACTAAGAACCACTATGATTTTTCTCACTGTAAATTCGATTTTTATGTCTTCTTGGATTCTCCTTAAATGGAATGAGATAGTGTGTACTCTTATGTCTGGCTTCTTGTAATCTTTTTGAGATTCACTCATATTGCTGTGTGTAGAAGTAGCACACTCCTTTTAATTGCTGAGTAGTATTCCATTTTATGAGTCTGCCATAATTTTGTTTATCCACTCCTCAGAGGATGGACATTTAAATTGTTCCCAATTTTGGCTGTTATAGAAAAAAAGCTGTACACATTCTTATATAATTCTTTTTGTGCAATGTTTTTATTGCTCTTGAGAAAATATCTAAGGGTGGAATTGCTGGGTCTTAGGATGGATGTATGTTTAATTGATCAGAAACTGCTAAATAGTTTTTGAAAGTGGTTGTGCCATTTTACACTCCCACCACCAGCAGAGTATTAACGTCTTGGAACTTGATTCTAATTTCTAATAGAGGCTCAGTGATAGCATCTTTGGATCTCACAGGGCCATTTCCTCTCAGGCGAGATACAACGTGCTGCATGTGGGAATCCAGAGATGGCAGCTTCTGGGGAACAGCAGTGTACAGTTCTGGTATCTTTGATCCATTCCCACCTCTGATCCAAGCCCATCCACCCCTGCTCTGCTCTGTATCCCAGTAGGCTGACTCCTGCAGGCTTTGCTTCTGAGGATCCTCGGTTTGTGGCTCCTGGTTTGGTGACCAATGCGAGATGCTGAATTGTATGTGTCCATTGGGAAGTGCTAAGTTGGGTGTAACCAATGGGAGGTACTGGGTTGGGTGTGGCCAATGGGAAGTGCTGGGTTGGGTGTGACCAATGGGAGGTGCTGGGTTGGCTGTGGCCAATGGGAAGTGCTAGGTTGGGTGTGACCAATGGGAGGTGCTGGGTTGGGTGTGACCTATGGGAGGTGCTGAATTGGGAATGGCCAATGGGAAGTACTGGGTTGGGTCTGACCAATGTGGGTGCCGGGTTGGGTGTGGCCAATGAGAAGTGTTGGTTTGGGTTTGGCCAATGGGAAGTGCTGGGTTGGGTGTGACCAATGAGAAGTGCTGGGTTGGGTTTGGCCAACGGGAGGTGCTCAGTTGGATGCGGCCAAAGGCAATCTCTACTGTTAGATTGAGAGGTGAGGGGAAGGGAAAAAGAAGAACCTTTCTACTCTACACTTTCTGTCTCTGGCAGCTTTTCTTGCAGGCATGGTATATCTTCCTTGGCACCAGCTTCTACCACACAGACCTACCTTGGCTTCAGCCTCTACGGGATGACTCTAGCTCCTGAATACAAGTAACAACACCTCTTTTTTTTTTTTCTTTTTGCCTCTCTAGCCTGGTAGTGGTCCTGTCATCCTACTATGGCAAATCCCTGGGTTATCTCAGTTCCTTATTGTTTGCCTTCCACTCCCTTCCTTCATCTGTGCAATCAGCTCCTTGCATTAAATTCCCTTTGTTCAGATACTTAGAGCAGGTTCTGTTTTTCCTGGTTGGACCTTGAAAGATACACACAGCATCAAGGATTAGCAGAGACGATTTCGAGGCCAAATCACATCTGAGGCCTGCCAGGCAGATTTATTATCAAATCCTTAAACTGCAAAAATAGGACAACCTTCTTCAGAAACACCATCTGGTACCACAGTATTCATCTAATGTCTAGCCCAAATCCCTGCTGTGATGAAGTTTGCATTTGATAACCAGATAGAACCAAGCCACTGGGCCTCAGGAGCTAATGTGAGCATGGGTGTTAGTGGGTCCATGGGCCATGCCTTAGTACTGGCAGGAGCCATAATTATGTTTATGGGAAAAGGAAAGGAAAAGGTTGGGAGGAAAAGGGATATTTCTAAGCAGCCACCGTAATTGCATGGATTGACCCAAACTCTAGGTTGTCAGGACACATGCTTGGCTCTCAAGGGAGGCAGTCATTTCTGCCGATCCGCTGCCTCTTTCTTTGGGACTTAAAACAGTGCCTGTCATACAGGAGATGATAAATACTTACAGAATTGAATTTGATCATTCACTCTTTCTTTACGTACTAAGTACCTGGTCAATTGTTGATGGCAAGTGATAGAAACCCAACTCAAGTTAGCATTAACAAAAAAGGAATTATAGTAACTTACATGGTTGAAAAGTCCAAGGCTATAATAGTTTCAGGCATGGCTAAATCCAGGTGCTCAAATGATGCATCAGGAGTTGTCTGTTCATTTCTCAGCTCTGCTCTCCACTGTGTTGGCTCCATTGCAGGCAAAGTCTTCCAAGGGAGAGTAATGAGGAGTCCTCAGTAGCTTCCAGCGGATATCCTATCAGAACAATAATTGTAGAGAAAAGAGAGAGCATGTCTTTTAAAATATTTTTAGCAAAAATCTAGTGCTTAGCATTTACCAATTCTGATTGCCTTGGGTATCCTGCTTCCCCTTAGCCAGGGCAGGAACTAGGGCACTTTGAATTAAACTCCCCCTGCCCCCCAGACTGTCTGCAGGAGGGGTGGCTCCCCAAAGAAAAAACAAGTTGCTATTATCAGCAGAACAATAAATGGATGTTGAACAGGTAGAAACTGCGAATGGCCACACCGATGTAATAGGCACTGTGGACCAAGTGCAACAGCAGGGAACCCACCAGTATTTCTGTTCTCGTGGTGCTTATGTTCCAGCAAGGAAGCCTGGTGAGGACCAAGTGATTAGAATCAACCCTTCTGTGGTGGAAGTCCAGGCTGCAAGAGAAACAGTCTCCTTGAAATGTGAATCCACAGGCTGCCATTTGAACACTGTAATATGCTCAGATTTGGACAGGCTGGAAGCTAGAAAACTGGCTTCATGCCCACATTGGACACTCAAAATTACAGTGATGTCTTCCAGAAATCTTTGCTGGAGCTACAGTCTGCAACAGATTATGTGGTTTACAAGAGATGGCAGGAGCCTCTGGGAGAATGGACTGTAAACAATTTGGTCACATTGTGGTGGGGAAAGGGGTGAGACAAGGAACGGAATCTGTGGGATTGAAGTGGTTCAGCTTCCAACTTTCAACTACATTGAAAGTTGTGGAATTTTTTTTTTTTCTAAAACGCGTTTAAATTTTGGGATACGTAGTTTTACCTCAAATTGTAAGAAGCAATACAGAGAGACCCATGTTTCCCCAATTTCCCACGGTGCTAACAGAAGATGGTAACTTGGTATTAATTGGTAACACTGTTGGTTGAATGGTAACATTTCAACCAGTCAGAGCAAGCTGACATTGATCACTTCATTATATCTTTACAAAATTCTGGTTGAAGGAATTGATTCCCCTCCTCTCCCCTCTCTTCTCCTCCCCTCCCCTCCCCTCTCTTCCCCTCCCCTCCCCTCCCCTCTCCTCCCCTCCCCTGCCCTCCCTCCCTTCCTTCCTTCCTTCCTTCCTTCCTTTTCTCTTTATGTGTTTTTGCTTCTTTCATTTGGCTCGAGTTTGATTCCTCCTTCTAGGTAGGTCTTATCTCCCTAATCGGATGTTGGTCTTTGCCAAGTGGCCTGTATCTTCTGTGCTTTGCATGATGCCATGCATTGAGTTCAGGGATGGCAAGGCCCTGATGCCTTTATTCATGCATTCAATACGTGCTTAATGAACACCTACTTTGTGTGTAGAGTGAGGGAGACAGTGGTAAATCAAGGAGACACAGCCCTACCTTCATGGAGCTTATAGTTAACAAGGTGAAAAAGACCAGAGAAAGAAACAAGTGAGCAAATAAATAAACGAGAGGGCTACAGATTGTAATAAAGGCTGTGATGGAAATGACATGGAGATAGCGAGGGAGGTGCTACTTCAGGTGGTCTAGAAGGCTGCTCTGAGGGCCGACTTCTCAGCTAAGATATATCTAGCTGGAGACTTGATGTTTCACCACCTCCTATTCAATCCTTGTGACAGATATCTGTAGTAAGTCAATGCAGTAGTCCCCCATATGCACTAGAAATACGTTCCCAGACCCCCAGTGGGTGCCTGGAACTGTGGATGTATGGAACCGTGTATATACTTTGCAATAATTTCCTTTCCCTTCTTCACAATTTCATAGATAGAAAATTCATTCTTACCATAGATCTTAGCAACCTCAGAATAGGATTCTTTTTTTCTTTCCACAAATTGAGAGCTTTCATCATTTCACTTAAAAGAAGCACTTATGGCTTCTCTTTGACAATCTGAATCACTGGCATCACTACTCCTGCACTTCGGGGCCATTACTGAGTAAAGTAAGGGGTCCTTGAACACAAGCACTGTTACACATGACAGTTGACCTGAGAGCTGAGATACTCCTAAATGACTAGTGTGCTAGTAGTATATACAGTGTGGATACGCTGGGCAAAGGGAGGATTCAGGTCCCAGATGGGACAGGGTGGGGGAGGGGCAGCATGAGATTTCATCATATTACTCAGAACGGCATGCAATTGAAAACTTATGAATTATTTAATTCTGGAATTTTCCACTGGATATTTTCAGACTAGTTGACTGCAGGTAAGTGAAACAGAGGATAAACAGGGGGATTGCTGTATACAGTTTTAGCAGCCACTCCTAAGGAAGTGGATGTGACACACAAGATGAAACTTCTTTGCCTCCTTGACGGAGTCATTCCTCAAGGAACACTGGGCAAGAATGAACAAATCATCGGGCCAGACGCAGTGGCTGATGCCTGTAATCCCAGCACTTTGGGAGGCCGAGGCGGATGGATCACTTGAGGTCAGGAGTTTGAGCCAAGCCAACATGAGAAACCTCATCTCTATTAGAATTACAAAAAAATTAGCCGGGTGTCCTGGCACATGCCTGTAATCCCAGCTACTCAGGAGGCTGAGGCAAGAGAATCACATGAACCTAGGAGGCAGTGGTTGGAGTGAGCTGAGATTGCACCACTGCACTCCAGCCCGGATGACAGAGTGAGACTCCTTTTCGAAACAAACAAACAAAAACAGCACAAATCAACCTCTCATAAGAAAGGGCACAGGCTGGGTGATGTGGCAAAAGCCCATCTCCACAAACAAAAAAAGAATTAACTGGGCATGGTAGCACATGCCTGTAGTCCCAGCTACTCAGGAGGCTGAAGTGGGAGGATAACTTGAGCCCAGGAAGTTGAAACTGCAGTGAGCCGAGATCCTACCACTGCACTGCAGCCTGGGCAACAGCGTGAGACCCTATTTAAAAAAAAAAAAAAAAAAAAAGAGGTTGGGGGGCAGATATTATGGAACTCATCAGATCAATAAAGAAACAAATCCAAGGAAAGCCTTGAACTTGCCTAAAGTCTCATAGCTAGCAAGGGCAGAATAAGGATCAGAAGGTACTTGAATGGACATAGCATAACCCAGCCATTCTGAAACTTGGGTTGCAACAACGTTACATGGCACATATGGTAAAATGCAGATTCCTGTCCTTGCCCAGGGAGTCAGCTGTGGTAGGTCTTGTAGGGGACTCAGGAGGCTGCATTTGCAACATGCATCCTAGGGGCTTCTGATGTGGGTGATTTACAAACCAGACTCTCATAATCATTAGTCTGACTTTGGGACACCAATTTTGCCTTGTTTCCATGCTAACCAAAGCCTCCTTCTCATGACTGCATCTAATTTATGCACTTATTCCTGTCCAGAGGCCCAGGGGCCCCAGGTGTTCAGCGCCACTGGAAACTCTAAGTAGGGAAGTGAAATGCTGACTTAGCCCTGTGTGAGCTAGCTCCTGCCACCTTCTGCAGCCTCATTGTGTACCGTGCTCCCCATTCTATACTTGCTGCAGCTTCTCTGGCTGCTTTTCAGTCTCTGGGATACAATGACCTCAATAAGCATCTGTTGTTTCCTGCATCCAGGACATCCTTTCTTCTGTCTCTTTACCCTCTGAACTCCTACCCACTCTTCATACCCAGAGCTTGTCCCTTACTTGGGGAAGACTTTCGTTTTCTCCCTGGTAGGAGCTCTACTAGGCCATATAATTAATTTTGTGCAATTTAAGGAATGGTATCTCTTCTTAAGACATTTTGGATGGCACATTCCAGAAAATTTGTCATAATAAATCTTTAAATTTATAATGTCTGTGATGTTACTGGCTCCCCCTAGAGTTGTGCAGTGTACAGCCTGCCCAACCATATGGGAGAGTCCTGTCTTAGTCAATTTCCATCTCATTGCATCTGTTTGCATTAATAACTTCCCCCTGGGGTACTACTGTCAACTGCAACCTTAAAGTTCAGTATTGATGATTGTCTCTTTACCCTTCCAGGGTATAAACAGGGACTCTGTCTGGCTTTATCTATGTTTGGATCCCCAGGACCTAGAATAGTGCTTGGTTCATACGAGTCATTTAGTCAATGCTTGCAGAGCTTTTGCTTCTACACTGTTCTCAAAGTCTTCCTCAAAGAGCTCTTTCCCTCTGTCTTTCCTGACCTCCCCATGTCCCTGGCACCCAGGATGCTCCAATGGTAACACACATCACAAAGTATGGCCATTGCCCGTTTTCTTGACTCTATTTTATATTAAGCCACCCATCCCCTAACACACCAGTAAACTCTAAGCTCCTTCACAGCAGGGACCATGCCAACTTTGTTCATCTTTTGTCTTCCTCTAACTAGCCTGGTACCTGGCGGTTGCTGAACTGGGTGCTGAACGCCTGGAGGGGAGAATGCTGCCAGTCTGCCCTGAGACTGGGAGGTATAGAGGGCGATGGTTCTGCTTAGAGGCACCTCTTGGGGTGCCCCTCACTATAAGGACAGCTCCTGGCTCACCCCACAGGGCACAGGCCCCTGTTGTGCCAGTGATTACTATAATACAAGCCACTTCTCATTCCAACCTTATTGCCTGATATGAGAATGAATTTAGGACATTGTCGTTCAAAGAATGTCTTTATTCAGTCTCTGCCAGTTTCCTATTCAGTTCCTGCCAATTTCCTACAATACATGGCACCTAACAAGCTTCCAGACCCAGAAGCCAGAGGCAAACAGGTGCCCCAGAATGGGTCGAACTTGCAATCCTGGGTAGCCCTTGAACCCACTTTCCCAGCCTTCACAGTCAGATCCCTGCAGAATAATAAGGCCCACAAATCTTTTGTCTGGAAAATTATCTTCCTGTAACACTGGAAGCTGTTACCATGGAAATAAAATAGCCCATTAGCCCAAATCTACCAAAACAAGGGAGAGGCCCGGCTGCATTTCCGAGGCCCTTCATTAATATGGAGAAAAGCAGATTAACCTTTAAGAGAATTGACAAGAATGGCCATGACTTGCCGGATTATGATTTTCCTGTTGAGTTTATCTGGGCTAATATCTCACCCTGGAGCAGCCATGCTGAGTGGAAAAGAAAGACAGACAAGACTCCATTTGGAGATTCAAATGCCTGCCAGGTTTGGCTGGGCTTAGGTGCATTTTTGTCTTTCGGTCTTGGCCACCCTGGACTCCTTCCCTCCCATGGATTCCTGGGGACGCCTCCTCCCTAGACCAGTCCACCGCAGGGAGAGCAATTTTCCTGTCTCCTGTTGAGCAGCTGCTGAGAGAGGCAAAGAACTGCAGAGGGCTCCTACAGCACAGCCAAGATGCCAAACAGAAGCCAGAGACAGATGGAGCTGAACTCAGCCTGTCCTGGTCTGCCTCCTCCTCCCTAAGGGTCCCCAGTGCCAAATCCCAGACATGAAGGCTGCTGGGAGAGGCAGTAAGGACTTGCCTCTTCCTGTGGCTGGGCACAGAGGTTGGTAGCGCGAGCAGGGATGCTTCATGGTCTCCACAATACCCAGTAGCACCAGGTGCGCAGCAACCCAGCACCAGGTGGCCAGCAGAGACCTGGGCCTGCACAGTTCACTGCTCCCACACCTGGCCAGCAAGAGCTGTCAGCATCTTAACTACTGGCAGGTGGGATGTACCAGTCTCTTGACAGGTATCAAGAGAGACTCTATCCCAGGGAAACTGACAATGTCCATCAGAAGCTTGGGCTGTGCTTGACAAGAGGGCCAAGATTACTGGGGGTTTTTTTTCTTCTCTTTTGATACCTTCTCTTTTTGAAGAAAGGTAGGAGAATGGTTCTCTGAGCATCAGTCATCATATTAAAGGCTCTGCTGCCTTGGAGACAGTGTTATGTCCTCTTCAGGTAGCTTTCATTGCCTCTAGTTACTGACACTGGGAAACACAAGGCACCTGATCATGTGAGCAGTGGCTTTGTGGTCTGAGACATGAGGTGTGGAAAACAAAAGAGGTCACCTATTCATTTTCCCGTTGTTTAACAGGCTTGTGGTAGGGGCTGAGTGGGACTCAGTTTTCTCTGGATAAGCCCCAGAGTTCAGCCTGGGCTAACTGCCATCACGAATGAGTCCCAGATCTCAGCAGCTTCATGCAGGAGCAGGCTTGCTTCTTGCTCCTGTCTCTGTCCAGTCAGGGGGTGGGGCAGATTTCAGAGGTCTAGATTCTTTCCACCTGGTGGCTCATTGTTCCCAAGACTTTGGAATGCCTCACTGGATCTTAGCATCTTACTGACAGTTGGGAAAGGAGAGTGTGGACAACCTAGAGGGGAGGTTCCCAGGGGCAGGCCACTTACTCTTCTCCCATTGGCTGGGCACATGTCTCTCTCCCAGGGATAGGGGGATGAGACATGAGGTTGAGCAAAGGCAGAAGAGGAGACTTCAGCAAGAGTATCTGGACCCAAATGCCAGCTGCAGAGCTGAGAACAGCAGATGCCCACCACCCTGAAGTCACAGTAGAGATTCTGAGTATCAGAGTGAAGGTGGCCATTGTGCCAGGCAGCATTGCCCAAGGTATGTGAGCAACTCAAATCCTTCAATGTGCTTCACAGAAATTAATTTCCTTGAGCAGATTTGTTTGGAAAACAATGAAAAGGACGTATTTCCTCCTGGGCATTCACATTGTGTGGGAGCATATGAAGGCTCTGACAAGTCCTGTGTTAAAGAAAATCTATTATTATTTAAAACATTTCCCACAAGCACTTGACCAGGGACGTGCCACCATTTTTCTGCTTGAAAATCTAGTAACATTGCTTAGAATCAATGTTCTAAGGGACATAGGTTCAACAGCAGACCTAGGACAATTCTACTTTTTAGAAAATATGTGTATGTTTGGAAGACAAGTGTATTGAGGCTCAGAATGAGGATTTGACTTACCCAAGATCAGTTTGTCTTGGGAAGAAGCTGCAGGCCTGTACTGGGTCCCAAGTAGAATGCTTATTTCCCTACACATCTCAAATGAGGTCATGACCCCCAGGAATATAAAACCGGTCAGTATACAAGCTGCATGTAAGGTACAGCACGAATACGGCACATATTCTGAGGCAAGGGATGGGGGCTGATAGTTCTTCATTCATTTGCCAAATTATGAATGAACTCTGCCTCAGTTTTCTTACCTGTAAAATGGGGATCATAGAAAGATCATGCATTTAAAGCTTTTAGCCCAGAGCTGGGGACTGTGTTTACAAATAGACAAGCCTGGGCGCTCCCCTCAGAGAAACTGCAGACCATCAAGGAGACAGATAGTGAACTAAAATGATCACAAATTATATAAGCACCAAGTTGAAATTGCTCAAGAGACTTACAGTGACAAGTTAGGTAGTGGCTGCTGTGGATGGGATTGTCCCAGGGAAGGTTCTCTGAGGACCAACACCTGAATAATAAAGGACACGTATTATAACAAAGCCAAAGAAAAGCCCAGGACAGGCATGGCACATAATAGATGCTCAGTAACTACTAATTGAGTGAGTGAATGAACAAATGAATGAAATATGGATTGGGGTATAATGTAATATTTTGAAGTTTTCAGATAAAACACTTTGAAGTAATATCATCTTTATAACCTCAAAACACCGAGGTGTATGTTTTCTCTTTCCACTGCTCTCTGCTGACAGGGTTAATTCAGTAGGAAAGCTCAAGATGTCTTAGAGTAGGTGATCTCAACCTTAGCATGATTGGCATTTGGCTGGGCAATGCACCCCAGGCATTGTAGGATGTGGAGCAGCATCCTAGCCTGCACCCATTAGATGCCAGTAGCCTTCTCCTTACCCCCTAGTTACAACAACTAAAAACATCACTGGTTACGGGCAAAATCACCCGTAGGTGAGAACCATTGTGCCAGTGTGGTTGGATCTATTCATTTTAAACATGGGAAATACGGACCATCAAATCAACCTTCTCTCCTCCTCCTCCTATCTATGGCCTCCCAGAATTTGTGGCCCAATATCACAGGAATGGCCCAAGTCCACATGTCATCATTCAGTGAAGTAGCAGCTTTCCAAGCAGAGTGGTCCCAATGGGCCATATTTGTGCTTCTCTCTCCTCTTTCCCATGCCCCGGAAAAGTCCAAGTTAATTTCCAGCCATCCCATTACGACCTCTCCAGAGAAGAAAGGAAGTTTCCTGGTTTTGCATTCCAGTAGCATTGCAACCTGAGCTCTTTGTATTTTTTGACATCCTGTTTCTGATTTCCATGCTGGGCTTAAAGTAGGGAATAAATACTTTTTTGAAAACTGTGCATTCCAGAGAAAATCAGCCAGCAGGCTCTGAAGAAGAGAACGGATGCAGGGACATGCTGGTGGGACGTTTTGTGCTTGTCACTGGGTGTAGAAAGAGAAAGAGCCCCAAGGTGAGCTACATGCAGGGAGTTGGGGGAAAATAATGTGTTCAAACTAGAGGGGAGGGTCCAGGGGGCAGGCCACCTGCTCACCTCCCATTGGCTAGGCACATGCAGAGACATTTACATATATAATTTCTATTATATATAATAGAAATTATTTATATTTAAATATATATTATATATATCAAATATATATATTTAAAAGTAGGATTATACTAGGTGGTTTTTTTTTTCTGTCAAGGTGTTTTTTTTTTTTAATGGAAGGTATGATCTTTGAAGACGAGACATTTATGCCAAGATCTGAATGATAGGAAGGACAGGTCACTTGAAGATTTGGAAACAGAATTTTTGAGGCTGAAGGAAAGGTAGTTCTAAGGCATAAAAAAGAGAGAGGTAGAAAAGGACAGAAGTGATGAGAGTGGGATCTTAATTATGCAGAGCTGTAAACCAAGGTATGGAATTTAAAATTTATTCTAATTTCACTGGGAAGCCAATGAACAGTTGAAGTCTTTTTTTTTTTAAGAGAGAAAGAAAGAAAAAGGAATGAAGAAGAGGAAAAAAGAGGAAGAGAAGCGGGGAGAGAGAATGGGAGTGTTGTTTAGTTGCCCAGGCTAGAATGCAGTCTAAAAATGGGTATTGGAAACCTCCCTTATACCATCAATTGTGTTTAATAATGGCCAACCAATATTTCATTTAAACCTGTGAGTAGGGGTGATGTGGTACTACTGATAAGAGTGCCTATCTGTGTGTTTAAAGTGGAGAGTTCTATAAATGTTTATTAGGTTTACTTGTTCTGGATCTGAGTTCAAGTCCTGGATATCCTTGTTAATTTTCTGTCTCATTGATCTATCTAATATTGAGGTTGAAATCTCCCACTACTACTGTATGGGAGTCCAAGTCTCTTTACAAGTCTATGTATCCTGTATTGGGTGCATACACATCCAGGATCATCAGCTCTTCCTGCTGCTTTGATCCTTTTACCATTATGTCCTCTTTTGATCTTTGTTGCTTTAAAATCCATTCCATCATAGGCGAGAATTGCAACCTCTGCTTTTTATTTAGTTATTTATTTTTGCTCTCCATTTGGTTGACAAATCTTTCTCCATCCCTTTGTTTTGACTCTATGTATCCTTGCAAGTAAGATGGGTCTGAATGCAGCATACTGATCGGTTTTGGCTGTATCTTTTGATTGGGTGATTTAGTCAGTTTAAATTTAAGATTATTGCCATTTGGTGTCAGCTGGCTATTTTGCCCATTAGTTGATATAAATTCTTCATTATGTTGATACTCTTTACTTTTTGGTATATTTTTAGAAAGGAATACTGGTTGTTCCTTTCTATGTGTAATGCTTCTTTCAGAAGCTCTTGTAAAGCAGGTCTGGTGGTAAAGAAAAATAAAATCTTTTGCTTATTCACAAAAGATTTTATTTTTCCTTTGATTGTAAAGCTTAGTTTGGCTGGATGTGAAATTCTGGGTTGAAAGTTCTTTTCTTTAAGGATGTTAAATATTGGCCCCCACTCTCTTCTGGCTTGTAGGGTTTCTGCTGAGAGATCTGCTGTGAGTCTGTTAGGCTTCCCATTGTGGGTAACCTGACCTTTCTCTCTGCTGCCCTTAGTATTTTCTCCTTCATTTCAACCCTGGTGAATCTAACGATTATGTGCCTTGGGGTAGCTCTTCTTGAGGAATATCTTTGTGGTGTTCTCTGTATTACCTGGGGTTGAATATTGTCCTGCCTTGCTAGGTTGGGAAAGTTTTCCTGAACAATATCCTGAAGAGTCTTTTCCAGCTTGGATTCATTCTCTTTGTCGCATTCAGGTATACCTATCAAATGTAGATTAGGTCTTTTCACATAGTCCCATATTTCTTGGAGACTTTGCTCATTCCTTTTTATCCTTTTTACTCTATTCTTGTTTTCTCATTTTATTTCATTAAGTTGGTCTTCAACCTCTGATATCCTTTCTTCTGCTTGATCAATTCGGCGTTAAAACTTGTGCATACTTCACGAAGTTCTCGTGTTGTATTTTCCAACTCCGTTAATTCACTTATATTCCTCTCTATATTGTCTATTCTTGTTAGCATTTCATCAAACCTTTTTTCAAAGGTCTTAGTTTCTTTGCATTGGGTTAGAACAAGTTCCTTCGACTCCCAGAAGTTTCTTATCATCCACCTTCTGAAGCCTGCCTCTGTTAATGGAACACAGTCTTTCTCCATCAGACCTTGTTCCGTTGCTGATGAGGAACTGTAATCCCCTGTAGAGGGAGAGGCATTCTGATTTTGGGTGTTCTCAGCCTTTTTAGGCTGGTTTCTTCCCTTCATTATAAATTTATCCATCTGTCGTGTTTGTAACTACTGCCTTTCTAATTAAGTTTCTGAGTGGACGTCCAATTTTTTGATTCGCCAGCGCCAGAATCTGAGCAGCCCACTGCGCCGGCTAAAACAGCAGTGTTAAGATTGATGGTGCTTTTCTGACTGCACCAAAAACTGCCATGCCAAGGCACTGGCAAAACCGCCGGCAAAACTGCCGCCCCAGCCATAAGAGTCGCGGTGGCGACCTGTGGGGCTCCTCCGCTGGGAATCTCCTGGTCCGTGAACAACAAATATTCGTCTAAAAGTGTGGCATCCTCTCATTTTCTGCGCTTTCACTGGGAGCCACAATCCTGAGCTGCTAACAGTCAGCCATCTTGGATCTCTCTCCCCTTTTCTGTCAAGCTGTTTATTTTTCACGGAGAGGGCAGGGGACGGGCTCAGTCTTTCTTGGCCGTGACTTTCCTCCTAGCGGCCAGGACATTGCTCAGCTCCTCCCACTTCCCCTTGGCATGCATGTGTATCCCCACCCTTTTCTTGATGAACTTGAGGGTCCTTTTGTCCTTAGAGACCTTTAGTAACTCCATGGTGCGTGGTTCACACTGGGCGAAGCCACATGCCTCCCGGATCATGTGTGCACGAACTTGGAGTGTTTGGTCAGATGCCCTTGGCAGCGGCTGCACCTGGACTTGCCCATGTTCTTGGTCACCTTGTAGCCCTCGTTGAGGCCCAGAGACATGGGTACCAAAGAGCCATGGGTGCTGCTCTCCAACAGCCGCTGTGGTGGAAGGGCTGGCACCGAGCAGAACTCTACTAGGTGTGTTTTTTAAACTGTCTAGATTTTTAATCAGAAAAATGATGACACGTCCCTAGTCAAGTATAGGGGGATGAGAAAGAAACGTGGTCTAGCGAAGGTATGAGAGAAGCCTTCAGCAAGTCTCTTAAGAAAAATGCCAGGTACAAAGGTGAGACTAGCAGATTCCCACTACCCTGAAGTCACAGTAGAGATTCTGAGTATCAGAGTGAAGATGGTCCTAGCCATTGTGCCATCCAGCATTGCCCAAGAGAGCATGGACAACCTAGAGAGGATGTGATGGCCAAAGCAGGAGAGGGAACGTGTTGACAAGATACAGCTCGTCACTTGCTCTGGGGGTGTCTGGCAAGTCACTGAGACAGAGACTCAGTTTCCTCATTTGTGAAAGGTGAGAGATGCTACTGTTACTCGTGGCTACAATTCATGTACTGTGCTAAGCACTATGTCTTCATAATTCTTGCCCCATAGGGCTCAAAGAGTTATGGTGAGGGTGATATTATATAATGTAGATGTAAGGGCTTTGTAAACTGTAAAGTGGTATAAAAATCCAAGGTCTAATTAGGATCATTACCTACTTCAGATAGTAATATCCACAACCCCCCCTCCCCCCACCAAAAAAAACCACCCAGGAAACAAATTTACAGAGTGGTTAAGAGCCCAAGATTCAGAGGCAACTAATCTGGAAGTCCAATTCCAGGTGGGCTACACTGGCTGTGTGACTTTGGGCCTATTATTCAACCTTCCTGTGCTTCAGTTTTCTTATCTGTGAAGTGGAGCAAAGTAGGATTTTAATGAGAATTTAGGTCAGGTGTGGTGTGGTGGCTTATGTCTATAATTCCAGGGTATTGGAAGCCCAAGGTGAGAGGATTGCTTGAGGCCAGGAGCTTGAAACCAGCCTGGGAACCTTAGCAAGACCA